GGTTTGATGTTTTTACTTCAAAACTTCCACAAAAATACTCTTTTCTTCTTGGCCATTTACAAAAATTTGCTTTTAATTTAAATAATTTCCCGTTCTTATCTCAGATCCGTCGTCGAGCGCGAAGCTCTCAAAAAAAAAAGTATAAAAGCCGAACAATCGGCCAATAAAGTTAGTCTCGCTTCAGCTTTCAAACTAGAAGCATCTTCTAAAGGCCTTATCCCGGGGCCGCACTGCCCTGGGATCCTGCAAGCCTCTGCCTTCACCTGAAGTCGTTGCCTAGCCACGCCTACGCCTCCACCTACTAGTGCCCGCGCTATCTTTAGCCGCTGTGCGTGCTTGCGTCAAGCGCTGCGTGTGCCTACTCCGGGCGCTGCGTGTGCCCACTCCGGGCGCTGTGTGTGCCTACTCCGGGCGCTGTGTGTGTCTACTTCAAGCGCTGCGTTTACCTACTCCAGACGCTACGTGTGCCTATTCCGGGCGCTGTGTGTGCCTAGTCCGGGCGCTGTGTGTGCCTACTTCAAGCGCTGCGTGTGCCTACTCCAGACGCTGCGTGTGCCTAGATCAGGCGCTGCGCACCTACCACAGGCATAGCCTGTGCATACTCCGTGAGCGGTGAGCACCACTGCCAAGCGCGGTGTGCCACCTTGGTCTTCGGGTTTCGTTTCAGTACTCATTTATCTTTGTTATTTTTGCTGCGAGGTCCCCTCAGGAATGTCTTCTCGTTCTTACAGAGCACCATAATCTTTTGTGCTCGTTGTAAGTTACGTTAATTTAATTAACTTAACTTCACAATGACAGAGAAGTTTGCTATACCAAAGTCTCACGGTCGTGTCGAACCTGAGGGTTTATCGCTTGTATCCTTTATTATTCGCGGTTTGCGAAATAACCTCCCAGAGCTTAAGCTCTTTCTTTGGAATCGTGAAACCGATTTCCTCCTCCTACAGGAAACTAATCTCAAAACTAAGAACACTAAAGGCCTTTCTATTAAAAATTTCTCTCTTCTTCGTAATGACAGACCCGACCGCCGAGGCGGCGGAATGGCCATCTATTACAAGAAGACACTTCACTGCTCGCCCATTTCTACTCCGCAGCTTACCAACTTGGAAGCCACGGTATGCAGGCTAGCTATGACTGGACATCAGTCCATTCTCATAGCCTCCTGTTACATCCCTTTAGGAACCCATCCCCTCAAAAAAGATTTTGAGGCTATCTTATCTTTAGGCAATTCAGTCATTATGATTGGAGATTATAACTCCAAGCATACTGAATGGACATGCCGTACTACCTCCCCCTAGTGGCAAGATACTGCTCGATATCACGCAATCTCTTGATATTACCGTCCATATTCCCCTCGGTGTTACTCACTTTCCCGATAACGCTGATCACGCCCCCGATGTACTAGATTTTGCGTTACTCCAAGGAGTTTCTCTCAACCTCAGAGCAATCGAGACACTAGACGATCTAGAATCCGACCACCGACCGGTCTCCCTCATTCTTGGCCATCAGCCGCCTCCCCCCAACACACACGAAAACCTTCACTAATTGGAAGGGATTCAAGGAGTCCCTAGCTAAAGCTCTGGACTCACAGGACTCTACCATCTCCCTACCGTCGGACTTAGACAGTACCGAAAAAATCGACACAGCGGTCGATTCACTCTCCACCCTTATTAAATCCTTCCTTAAGGAGAACGAAAGGGTCGTCCCGGTTGCTAACAATAGTGGGCTTCCCATACATATTAGCAACCTATTAAAAGCCAAAAAAGCTGCCTTACGGAGAGCAGCTAAATATCCCACCCCCGAATATAGGCGCACGGCCAATCGTCTTCAACGAGAACTCCGTTTCCGCCTCTCTGAATTTCGAGACCTCGAAAAGAGTAAACTCATGGAGAATATCTCTCCATCTCATACAGTGTACTATCAGATGGCTAGAGCCCTCCACATAGACGCTATCACCCACACTCCCCCTCTCTCCCGTCCCGACGGTAAGGTTGCTTTCGAGGACGAGGAAAAGGCTGAGTGCTTTGCAGATAGCATTGCCGCACAATGCTCTCCTAGCTATCAACCCGTCGACCCCTCACACGTCCAGGCAGTGGAGGATGAGGTCCGCCGCCGGAACTCACCCCCTACAGCCTTCGAACCTATCTCTGTGTCCAATGATGAGATTTCATCCCTCATCAAAGGACTTAAGCCCAAAAAGGCTCCGGGCGCGGATGGCATCTCCAACCAAGCCCTAAAACAATTTCCTGAGCAGGTGTTAACCTTTTTATCTATTATTTTCAACGCCTGCTTTAACCTTAGTTACTATCCCACTATGTGGAAAGAGGCAACTGTGATTGGTATTCCCAAGCCAGGCAAGCCTCTCAACCTCCCCCTCCAGTCATCGCCCCATTAGCCTCCTCAAGGCAATGGGCAAACTCTTCGATTGAGTCATCCAAACACGTATGAGGCGCTATCTGTTTCCCACAGACGGTGACCCTCTTATCATTCCCCATCAATTCGGTTTCCGAGCGCAACACTCATGTCCCCAACAAGTTTACCATATTGTGGAATATATCCTCAGTGGTTTTTATCCTCGTCGTCATAAGACAATCGCGGTCTTTTTCGACATAGCTAAAGCTTTCGATAGAGTCTGGCATACAGGCCTTATCTACAAGCTCTACAAAATAGGTCTCCCCGATCGTCTAGTACGTCTCGTGGCCTCCTACGTAAAGCATCGTACCTTTCGTTTTAGACACGAAGGCACGCTATCTTCACAGCGCCCTATCAAAGCTGGTGTCCCTCAGGGCTCAGTACTTTCTCCTCTGCTGTACATCCTGTTCACCAACGACATTCCACGTGTTTCACGACGACCATCCCGTCAAAAGGTGTTCAGCTCTCCCTCTTCGCAGACGACACTGCTATCTACTGCAAAGGTATCTCGCTACCTTTCATACGGAATAAGGTTCAAAAGTCAGTTGACGACCTAGGAGCTTGGTTCAAAAAATGACGCATCGATGTGTACCCGGAGAAGAGCTCCGCCGTTCACTTCGATTATAAACGACGCCGTCTCAAAAATACTCCACCAATACGTATGCTAGGGACCCCTGTCCCCTGGCATACGACTGCCAAATATTTAGGTGTCACTCTAGACACAAGGCTCACCTTCAGGCCCCACGTCAAAAGAGTAACCCGTCACGCACGTTTTTACTTGAGTAAGCTCAACAGTATGTTGGGCCGACACAGTAAAATGTCCCTTTAGAAACAAGCGTAACCTTTATAAGGTCTGTATACGACCAGTCATGTCCTACGCGGGCCCCATTTTTGCCCACGCCGACCCTAAAATTATTAATGAACTCCAAATAGTTCAAAACCTTTTCTGTCGTCGAGCTGCGAACGCACCTTGGTACGTCCGTAATGCCGACCTACATCGGGACCTAGAGCTCCCTACAATTCAACAATTTCTCAAAAAACTCTCTGAGAAACTCTATTCGTGAGGCAGCTACTTATGCAGCCCCAACCCCCTCTCGCTATCGAGTCCGCAGGCCGAGAAACTCTCACTCGGACCCGCCTAATAAACTGTCAAACGACCTGAACTGCCTCCTGGCGGCTCAGGCCAACTCTAATTAAATTAAATTATTCATTCATAATTAATTTGCCTTCGTAGGCACTCCCTCAGCGGCTTGTAGCCGCCTGCGTCCTCTTTTCCCAAAAGAGGGTCGCTCCCGATACGGCACAATAAAGCTTAATCAGCCAGTTGCCAGTCTCTAAAGGCGGTTTTTAGAGGGTATCACTTAGGTTCCCCGGTAGGATGTGAGTCACTCATAACCACGATAGACCGACTATCGTGGTATACGTAATGCATTTTTCGCCTCCCTACGTATAGAGTAGCCCTTTAATTGCTTCGGGCGCAAAAAAAAATTATAGATTATTTATACACTTATGTGTCAGATGAACCCAAATAATGTTCCTTGAACAAAGAATCATGTCCAATTTTGACCTGAAAATTTTCGAAAGCGTCTAGTGATGTAAAATATCTTATAAAATTGCTCTTTTTTTTGCTTATTTCGAATCGCATAATTGAATTTTCTAATAAAGCCAGGAAAAAGAGTAATGTTAATATGTTTATCATTCTCAATAGACTTTTGGAGACGGAACGAGTTTTACAATGACTTAAAGGCCCAGAAGCCATGCCAAAACATATTTAGAAAACGTGTTTGTCAATGACAGTCAGACAGTCCGTCATTTGTTTGAAGTTTTGCACTATGGTTTTGCAGTCGTTCGTTAGCTTTTCCTACGTTTTGTACTGTGCGATTTTGGATTTTCTGATACTCTTACAACTTGCATTTTCCACGGACTTCGATACCTTCCACTCACGATTACTTTGGCCTGTGTAATACGGATACCGATTTAGCTTTTTGATTGGGATCTAAGACGTTATCGTACTTGTTGGAAAGCGTTATGGAGCCTTCTACGAGAATGCTATGTATAAACTGTAACATATGTATTAATACGCTTCAGCGTTATCGGTCCCTTCAGCTTGATAGCAGTCATCTCGCTAATTAGCACTTGGATATCTCCAGTAATGGTAAGTATAATAAATTACCTAATTATTTAGTTTTCAGTCAACATATGCTAATTTTATAAAAGGATTAATATTCTGAAGTGTTAAAGTATATCTTTTCAAGTTAGTATTCAGTCAACATACGCTAATTTTATAAAAAGGATTAATATTCAGAAGTGTTAAAGTATATCTTTTCAAGTTACATCAAAGTATGTCTAGTCAAATCAGACTCCAGGCATCGGTCGGACAGCTATATATAGTTTGACATCAGACAAGAACTCTGATGAACTGACAGGGGGTATAAATAGGCAGTGTTAGTTACTTAGAGATTTTACCATGTTTAGCTAAAGTGTCCTTTAAGACAGTTGTCTAAAATAAAAAATAAAACATGTAAAAATACAAATTAAATGTGCCTATTTCAATTTATGCTTTATAATCTCATAATTGATTTATTTTTCAGATTACGGAAGAGGATTACATTTGTGAAGCGTGCTTTGATGTATCCATGCAGTCTATTAATGCTCAAATTCATGGAAACAATGAGTGTAATCCATCTGCTTGTTCATCTCGCCTTGGTCATACTCAAGTATGCCCCGTTTATGGTCGATCATTGCTCAATCGTCAAAGTGACCACATTCACAAAGAAAACCCATCAAACCTCACACTAAGAATGATCAACTTAATTCGAACTACTGTAGCACCTCGTCAGGTTTGTATTTAAATATTCAATCTCATTTTAAACTGCATGCAATTTTTTCATTAAACATCCACATTCTAATCCATGACATTACTAGGTATGTCACTGCATTTATTACAAATATGTTGTTTTTTTGTTGACAGATATCACAATATGATCGTTTATGTCATGCCTGTTGGTTGAGGTTTAAAAGACAAGCTCTTTTAACTCAACAACAGGATGAAAGAAGAGGCTTAGAAGGTGATGAGACTCCTCGCAGTCAAACAATTGAACAAGAAGTGGAACAGCCTGTTGTTGCAGTTCATGTTCCAGAATTACAACCTCCCCCGTTTCTTGCAAATACAGATGAAAGGGATTCGTCTGTAGAATCAGTTGCAGCTCCAGAGGTTCATTCGCAACAATCTGGAACTCAACAATCAAGTAACATTACATTACATAATTATAAACGTGCTCCCAATACAGTATCTCATTGTGCATTTTATGGGTGTGAAAATGAAAATCTGCATACTGTGTCAGATGCACTACGGGCTACCATTTTGTGCAACTACAATTTTTATATTCCCAAACTGGCAAGAGTATGCACAGACCATTTACATGGAATCAGTTGGAGTTCCCTTTATACCAGTGAAAACAGCATGAGCAATTTCACTGTTGAACAAGTTGAGCATGTTTTTTCCTTTGTTCAAAAATACAAGCATTTTCTCGATTTTTCAAGCATAGAATCATTACAAGAAATTGATGACAATTTATTTGGATTTTGGATTGGCTTGTCAAAATTGAAATTCCTTAATTTGAAAAACATAGGGGTGTATTAGGTCTAGCCGCTGTATTGATAAAGATGCGGACAGGTGATTCTGACTTAAGAATATCAACATTGCTAGAAGTTCCTTGCACTACACAAGAGAGGTTAATGCAAACAGCACGAGAGGTACTGCTACAGGATTTTGTTCCATGTAACCTAGGAATAAATCACTTGCCGAGAGAACAATTAATAGAACACAATCTCATCATTCCGAATGGAATTTACAATGAAAATAATAAACAATGTATTATGATGTGTGATGGAACATACAGTTTTTTAAATAAAAGTGGCAATTATATGTTTCAAAAAGACACATATTCTTTACATAAATATAGAAATCTGTTAAAGCCATTTTTAATAGTTGCCTGTGACGGTTACATTTTAGATTGTTTTGGCCCATACAAAGCTACCACATCTGATGCCGAAATAATGTCTTCTTTGTTCAGAAACGAAAATTCCCCACTGAGACAATACTTTCAAGATAATGACATATTTATTTTAGACAGGGCATACAGAGAAAGCATCAGCTTATTAGAGCATTGTAATTATAAGGCATATATGCCAGAGTCACTTTTGGAAGGCGAACACCAGTTAACCACCACCCAAGCAAATAGAAGTAGATGTGTAACTACATATTTGCAGATGGGTGGTGGAGGTTGTAAATGGATATTTTAAAAGAGATTTTAGATTATTAAGGTTTGACAATTTTAATAAAACTGTACCAAATATGATGGCTTATTTCCAAATTGCTGCAAGTTTAATAAATAAGTTTAGTGTTCGTCTTCGCAATAGAGCTGATGCTGCTCAAATTCTTGGTATAATAAATGAAAGGATGCCCTTGGAAAATAACTTAATTAATATAGTTACAGAATATAATTTAAATCGCCGGGCATCCTTTTTTCAAAGCATTACAGCTGATACTGCTAATATTGAGTTTCCCCGTCTAGAATACAGTGAATTAATATTATTCGCTTTGGGAACGTACCAAATTCGCTAAGCGCGTTCATATTACGGTGAACACATACGTTTCCATGGCGGATACAGGATAGAAGTTTGTCAAGACACTAATAATATACCTGAGTTAGGCAGTGGGGAAAATTCACTTATAAAAGGATAAATAAAGTCTAGACATATCTCAAGTCGTCGGTACTATCTGTACATTTTGATTGCAAATGGTGTTGATGGACGAGAAGGCATTGTAGAGTATTGCTGTAACTGCATTGTAGGACGTCGCATTGTAGGACGTCGCACTGTAGGTTGTTGTGCGCATATTATGACAATGGTGTGGTACTTGGGTTGGGCCAGGCATGAAACCAACATTGAGCCTCCAGCGGCATTTTTAGATGAAGTGGTCATACGAGAAGACAATGAATAAACAAAATTAATCAAATCGTGAAATTTTTAATTAATTTCCCTGTTCTCGCCAAAAACATGTAGAAAAGGTAGCTGTTTTTGTTATCTATTAATATTGTGATGGCCCAGAGGTTACACCTAGCCTCTCATGCACGAGGCTGTGAGTTCAAATTTGGGCAAGTACCAATGTGTGTTTTTCAATGCATAGGTACGTGTTTTCTAAGTTTATCTTACATTAGGGAAGGAAAACATCGTGAGGCAACCTGGACTCAATAATCATATAGTAGAAGTATAATAATCAAAATAAAAGTCTGAAACTGCCAACTCATCTTGACTCTGCGTGGTGATTAATGCTGATGCTTTCTCTGTATGAAGAGGTCCGTCTAGCAGTGGGGCCGTATTATTATGCTTATATTAGGTATTATTTACTCGTCCTTCTCTGTTCATCAATCAGACTTTTAGAGTTCGATGGCTGAAAGCGTCGCCTGTCAAGACGACCAAGAATTGTCCTTGAGTCAATCTGTTACCACGACAGATTTTGACCGATAATTAAATGAACTAAACGTATATTGTTCTAATTTGCACAACGTGTAGTGCGTGTAGTCTAAAAATCAACAAAGGCGAGATATTACGAAAACGTAACTGCTATTTGTGACCGCGCTCAGATGATAATATTACATTGAAGAGGGATTTATTTCTGAGTAATTGTAACTCTCTCGGCGATTAAGAAACAATAACAGAGTACTTTTGTATACCTGAAAGAAACAATTTGATTATAAACGTATAGTTTTTGAGGTTGCGACAGCTGTCAAATAAGGTTTGACAGCTGTCATAACCTGTAAACTTATTTACTTAATAGCATTTTTCCCTGGCCTCTAAATGAAAAGGTGATAAGTTATTATGTTATTATAAACAATAATTGATTTTATGCAACAGCACTTGTAGGTAGACGCGCCCCTGTAAAACAAATCAAGTGACAGGTCAATCAATGTATGGGAAGTGGGCATACTTCATTAATAAATGTATCAGAAATTTGTTGCCTTAGGGCGACCTGAAAGTTGTAATCATAATCATCGGAGTGTAAAAAACGAGCTGATATCACTTGCTGACACAAAAACTTCATCATCAGACATAGTAATTTAAGATAAATATCATATACTTAAGACAAATATTTACAAAAATAATGAGGTATATAATACTAGAATATAATTTATATATAAATAAACACTCACGCCTGTCACCCAGAGGGGTAGGCAGAAACTACAGACTTCCATTTGGCACGATCCTGACACACCTCTCTCGCCACCTACGCAAACATGCTCGTCGGTTAAGGGTACTCCTAATTTGGGCCCGTTTTCAATAAATCGCCAATTTGGTCGATAAATTTTCGCCTAGGACGTCCCTTTCCGACTCTGCCATTCACTTCTGCAACATAAATTTTCTTTGTCACTCTTTCCTCATTCATTCTTTCCACATGACCAAACCACCGAAGCATTCCTTTCTTAATCCTGGTCACAACATCATGTTGCAAACCACACTCTTCTCTTATTACACAATTTCTTACCCTGTCGTTCAGATTCAGCCCTAACATACTCCTTAACGACCGCATTTCTACTGCGTTGATTCTACTCTCGTGCTTCTTCTTCTTATGTGTATAATATAGTTTATATTTATATATATTTGTGTAAATATATACTATTATATCACACCACCTTTCCCGAAGTTGACTAATAGTTACAAAGCAGAAAACATGAAAAATACAATTTTACATAATTAAAAAAATACGAACATGGCAAAAGATAACACAATCTGGATACAAGTATTTCAAGTAATATTTAACAACAATTAATGCAAAATTTCGTTAAGGTATAAAACAATGTAAGTAAGGCTTAATGGTCCACATACCTTTGCCTTAACCATAATCTGTCACTGCCATTCAAGTGACCAAAATATTATGACAGAATCAAGAGAGTAACAAGAGCAATAGTCAAAATTGCAAAAAGGAAATAATAAAAAATTAAACATACCTACAAAATTGCAAGATCACACCACTAAACTTACTTATTATTACTTACTTCCACTACTTTCAAGATTACAAGACTACACTTATTGTGGTGTATTAATGATCTCATTGCAATTAACTATAACAACTGTATGATGAATTGTATGAGCAGTCTACTGAACAATATAAAATGTAGTATAATACTATCGTAGCTTATTCTAGTAGTAACCAAGATTATCATATCAGTATACATTAAACGTAACTAAAAAGTAGTATGAAAAATTAAAAAGAGAAACTTACTACAATAGGAAATTGTTATCAACATATTATCAGATAAAATTCAAAACAAGTCTGAATGTTTTAAAAAATATATGCAAAGATCTATTATTAATTAAAAACTAAAAATAATACATATTAATCTCACAAAATTATTTGTAACATCCAGTTGCTATCCTTTTTTTATTGGTTTAATTAAAAATTGCTAAATAATTTATTAGAATAATGTTAAGAAAGTTAGTGAAACATCAGAGGTTAAGTTGAGGGTTAGGTGGCATAGCACTCAAAACATTGTTTGACACATGAAAATATACTCTAGAATTGAGCACAAACTAATAATCAATGGATTATTATTATGAATTAAAACTCTTGAAACTATAATCACAATCCAAATTATACGTGAAAATTGTTTAAAACTGGTAAACAAAATTACCATCTGTTACTTGTTTGTTGTAATCAATAATCTGTAACGTTGTCCGCATTTTGGTCTATATTAAAAGATTTTTTTAATGTAGCCCTAAAAGCAGGGGCAAAAAACATCCCATTGTCCGGACGGATATTCGTACAATATTAAAAATGCCTGAGAATATTTTAACATTAAAAAGAAATTGCAATATACTCCACGCTCAATAGAGGGCGGAAATATAAAATGATACGACGTACGCGTTTTAATTCTCGTATAAACGTGCGGAAATTTCACATTGCCGCTTCATATTTTCATTATACCAAACTTACGACTCGACATTAACTCAAAGTTAATAATAGTCTAATAAAAACTACAATTTAGTTAAAATTTTGTTATATTGAATGAAAAAAGTAGTATTTTTAAAATAGTACTTAAAGATTTGAAAAAAAAATTTGGCAAACGAACTTACTATCCACCTGATGACAAGTGGCTCCTGCAGTTTATTCAAACAAAGAAGGCTTCAGATGCGTTGTCACCTCTGAGGACTAAAATGGAACGCCTGACATTTTATGATTGTACTG